TGATCATTTCGTAACCAGAACATAGTCACACAGTCACATTTGTCATTGTTGACAAATATAAGATATCCATAGTTTACAGAAACGTACAATGCAAACATTTTTTCTGTTGATTGCATTTTCTAACCGCAGGGAGTGTGTGTTTTCAGAGAAACAGCCCTTCAGAGCAATGGGCATTAGTTTTTGGGATAACAGACTGTCGTAAAAATGGAACTTTGGTCGCCTGGGACATTTTTTGAACCAACAGGGCTTTGGGTTTTTGGGCCATCACAGCAATGGGCATTCCTCAGGTGAAGCTCCCTGAATTAAACTTTACATCAGGGGGTTCTCAAAGTTTTGATGACTGAGTTTAATGGAGCCAGCGTATGACTGAGTGCCGAACAGGAAAACTGCTCACATAAACCAAAATATATTTTCCATTGCACTTGTACTTGAAACTGCTGCTTAAACTGTGCACCAAATTCCTAACTTCAGCTAACAGCGCTAGCATTAATGACAGAATGTAAGGAGACACTAGTTGAGGAATCAGAAGTGCTATATCGTAGGCAACTGGACTTGCTTGTGTTTCTTGAAGATATTTCACCTCTCATCCAAGAGGCTTCTTCAGTTCTAAATGACTGGTACGGAGTCGCAGGATTTTAACTGTGTAGGTGTGAACCCTTACAGAGTCGTTGGGGTCACGTGAGACATATGAGTTGTTGACCCATCTGGCCATCATGTGTGTCGTTAGGGTCAGATGGGACCAGGGGTGAATGGATGGGAAGTTGTCTGGGAGGGATCCCAAGACTGCATTGTAGGTGGGTGATAAGTGGTGTTGTAGGCCACCTCCTCTGTTTAACGATGGTCGTTCCAGTTTGACATAGATGGCTTCTTTCACGTCTCTTTCAAACCATCTTTCTTCTTTGGAGCGCTTGTTTTGTTTCACCAATGTACAAATCTGTGCATTCCTGGCTGCACTGAACTGCATACACCACATTACTCTGCTTATGTCTGGGTACTTTGTCCTTAGGGTGGACAAGCAAGCTTACTAGCTCCGTACCAGTCATTTAGAACTAAGGAAACCTCTTGGATGACAGGCAAAACGTCTTCAAGAAATGAAAGCAAGTCCAGTTGCCTACGATATAGCACTTATGATTACTATGACCTGGATGACTGAGAATCTTCACTGACATACAGTCAGGTCCATAATTATTTGGACAATGATACAGTTGTCGTCATTTTGGCTCTGTACACCACCACAATGGGTTTTAAATGAAACAATGAATACCTGCTTAAAGTGCAGACTCTCAGCTTTCATTTAAGGCTTTTTTCAAAAATGTAGTATGAACCGTGTAGGAATTACAACCATTTCTTCACACAGTCCCCCAACTTTAAGGGCTCATAAGTATTTGGACAAACTAACATAATCATCAATTAAACAGTCAGTTTCAATACTTGGTTGCAAATCCTTTACAGTCAATGACTGCCTGAAGTGTTGGACACATAGGCATCATCAGATGCTGGGTTTCTTCCCTGGTGATGCTCTGCCAGCCCTTTACTGCAGCGGTCTGCACTTCCTGCTTGTGTTTTGGGTGTTTTGCCCTCAGTTTTGGCTTCAGCAAGAGAAACGCATGCTCAATTGGATTCAGGTCAGATGATATGACTTGGCCATTGCAGAACATTCCACTTCTTTGCCTTAAAAATGTCTTTGGTTGCTTTTGCAATATGCTTCAGGTCAATGTCCATCTGCACTGTGAAGCATCGTCCAATGAGTTTTGAAGCATTTAGTTGAATCTGAGCAGATAATGGTGCCCCAAACACTTCAGCTTTCATCCTGCTGCTCTTGTAAGCAAGACAAGACTTCACTAGAATAAATACAGAGGGTTTATCACAAGATGCAAACCATTGGTTAGCCTTAAAAATGGAAGGCCAGATTAGAGTTTGTCAAAAACCATCTAAAAAGCCTGTACAGTTGTGGAACAGCATACTATGGACAGACAAAACAAAGATCAACTACCAGAATGATGGGAAGACAAGAGAAGGAAGAAGGGAAGGAACTGCTCATGATCCAAAGCACACCACCTCATCAGTGAAGCATGGTGGAGGTACTGTTATGTCATGGCCATGTATGGCTGCCAGTGGAACTGGTTCTCTTGTATTTATTGATGATGTGACTGCTGACAAGAGCAGCAGGATGAAAGCTGAAGTGTTTGGGGCACCATTAACTGCTCAGATTCAACCAAATGCTTCAAAACTCATTGGACGATGCTTCACAGTGCAAATGGACAATGACCTGAAGCATATTGCAAAAGCAACCAAAGACATTTTTAAGGCAAAGAAGTGGAATGTTCTGCAATGGCCAAGTCATATCATCTGACCTGAATCCAATTGAGCATGTGTTTCTCTTGCTGAAGCCAAAACTGAGGGCAAAACACCCAAAACACAAGCAGGAAGTGCAGACGGCTGCAGTAAAGGGCTGGCAGAGCATCACCAGGGAAGAAACCCAGCATCTGATGATGACTATGTGTCCAACACTTCAGGCAGTCATTGACTGTAAAGGATTTGCAACCAAGTATTGAAACTGACTGTTTAATTGATGATTTTGTTAGTTTGTCCAAATACTTATGAGCCCTTAAAGTCGGGGGGACTGTGTGAAGAAATGGTTGTAATTCCTACATGGTTCATACTACATTTTTGAAAAAAGCCTTAAATGAAAACTGAGAGTCTGCACTTTACTTTACTTTACTACTTTACTTTTCATTGTTTCATTTAAAACCCACTGTGGTGGTGTACAGAGCCAAAATGATGACAACTGTATCATTGTCCAAATAATTATGGAGCTGACTGTAGCTGAGGGAAATTTCACATTATTCTGATTTGTTACAGAATCTGACTAATCAAATATCATGTAAATGAATGTCATGGCAGCTGCAATCAGTTGATAATTATGTAAAGCATAGCTGCTTAAAGTGCAGCCCTCAAGCTGATGGAGTGCACCAGGAATGAGTCCTAAAACCTGGAAATGAGTTTGCATTTTAATACTCACAGTTCCCTCGTCTCAAAGTCAATGGGTTCGTTGAATGGGTGTTTGGTAAGATGCCTGAAACAACATCTGTGGTTAACAAAAGCTTAAGAGACTGTCACAAGTTTCTATGCATCTTAAAAAAGGCTGTGCCGAACACGGCATAACAGTCTTGTTATGGTGGTGACATTAGATAATGCAGCCGTAGTTTGGTTTGTTTATAGCCTAACGTTAGCTTATTAGCTGATTGCATTTAGGCTTCAGAAATAATGGAAGTGTTGTTCATCTGTGAAGATTATCTTACTGAACAAAATGTCTAAGTATCATAAATGTTTGTTTGCCATGGAGCTTATTTTCAGCAACAGTCCAAAATCCAATGGAAAAAATCCCCTAGGCTTTTTGAGGAGGTAACCACTGCAGTGCCAATTTCTTCATCGGCCTACAGAAATACATCACCCCTGGTGCACTCTATCGGCTTGTGGGCTGCACTTTGAGCAGCTATTTACATGATTATCAACTGATTGCAGCTGCCATGAGATTCATTTACATGATATTTTATTAGTCAAATTCTATAACAAATCAGAACAATGTCAGATTTCACTAACAAGACATTTGCTAATTTCAGTCTTGGTGGGTCAACTCTGTACCTGGAGTTACCAGCTGCCGTGTACGACCACTAAACATCTCAAGAAAAAACATGCGTGCAATGTTTCTGTGATTTCACCTACTACATGGGAACCAATGGACACACTTTTCTGAGCAGAGGGGGAGTGATTTTACAAAGTACCAGGCTCATGAAACACACAGGTGTGCCTGTTTGTTACACAATGTTATGTGTATTTTTAAACATACAGAGACATTTTGTTTGTAGTGTATACAGCTCCTGTTGGGATTGTCATGTTTGCAAGGGGATGGATGTGGCGATGGTGCAGTGGAAGTTAACACTGATATAAAAACTATTACATGGACTCTATTTTGAGAGGATATTTACTGTAACAGTGGTGCTGTTAGAATCTGACAAATGTATTTATTTATTTATATATACACTGATCAGCCAAAACATTAAAACCACTGCTGGGTGAAGTGAGCGTGCAATGTTCTTCTGGGAAACCTTGGATCCTGGCATTCATGAAGATGCTACCTGATGCACTCCACCCACCCAAACACCGTTGCAGACAAAATAAACCCCCTCAATGGCACTTGTCGATGGCAGTGTCCCCCCAGCAGGACAATGTGTCATGCCACACCCCCAAAACTGCTCAGGAATTACCCCAGCAATGGGAGAAAGAGCTCAAGGTGTCGTCCTGGCCTCCAAATACCCCAGATCCCAATCTGACATCCTATTTACCCCTGATCCACGGTGGGGCCTCCTTGGATTGGACTTGGCTCTGACCTGTCAAGTCATGGACACAGGACCTCTGGAGGGTGTCCCTTGGTGTCTGGCACGTGTTGCCATGTGTTGGCCTCAGATCTTTTAAGTCCTATTTGTTGTAAGGTGGGGTATTAGCACGTCCCACAGATGTTTGATCAGACTGAGATTTAGGGGATTTTGGAGGCCAGGTTGACGCCTTGAGCTCTTTGTCACGTTCCTCGGACCACTCCTGAGCAGTTTTTGTGGTGTGGCATGGTGCATTGTCTTGCTGGTCTGCACTGGTGTTTTTAAGTGGGTGGAGCGTGTCAGGTGGCATCCACATGAAAGTCAGAACCAAAGGTTCCCAACATAACATGGCATTGTATCAAGATGATCAATGTTGTTCACTTCACCTGTCAGTGGTTTTAAAGTTTTGTCTGATCGATGTATACTGTTATTTTATTCGTTTATATCGTTATTGTCTATTTGCTTTTATTTTATCTTTTAGTATAAGTCAGTCCTGTCTGGTGTTATTCAGAGAGTTTGTTATTGTTTTTTTTTGTTTTAGGTGGTTTAGTGTTGTTGAAAAAAGTTGAAATTCAGTACATTGTAAGAAGAAAAAAAGAAGAAAAAACATGCTGGAGCATTAAATCATTTGAACAGTTTGTCTAACAGTGTAGACACTTTTATTTTTCAGGTCTCAATATGCAAACATTTAAAGTCAAACACTTTTCCAGGTTTATCGTAGGCACTGTGCATAAAAACCTCTAAGAAACAAAAATGCAGAACTGAATTTTTAGAGAAAAACAACAATGAATCATTGGAATTTATTCAGTGTTTCTTACAGTAGCACATCAGTACAACGGGATGGACGGGGAGAACGGGGAGGTCACAGTCAGTAGTACTGTTAATACTGAGCATCCAGTATGACGGGACATAAGGAGAATCTGCAGCAGCCGCATGAGGTGCTTGCTCGGCCTGGGTTGAGGTGGTGTTATGGATTTGGGGGGTGCAGGGCTTAAGCTGATGCAAGTAGATGCTGGAGGGAGGTCTCAGTGTTGGGTTTACTGTGCCCTCTCGTAGAAACGTTTGCAAACAACATCTTCCATTGTGAGCGTCTGTGATAGAGAGAGAGAGAGGGACAATTAAAAACAGCAAACACACACAAATGTGAAAGTTAAATGAACGCATTTTGTGTGAGCACTGACCAGTGTAAGTTTGTCGCCTTCTACTTCTCTGACCAGACTGGTCTCTTTGCCGTTCCACCTCTGTATGTGCACCAACTTACCATCATCTATTGTTACAATGGACTGGAGAAAAAAAAGGAGGTTATTACACCCAATACGCGATCATATTATGTTATGCACATGTTTATTAAGACTGGGATGTCTATATGTGATAAAGTGCTTTGCTTGTATTGTAATAGCTTTTCTGAACTTAAATCTTTCCCTTGACAGATATTCCGGATATTAAAAAAAAAAAAAAAACATCTTAAACTAATACTAAAACTAATGAAAACTAAACATTTTTAAATAATAAAACTACACTGAAACAATCAAACTCACTCTGGAAACTAATTGAAACTAAACTGAATTGAAAACAAAAATTAATAGTTATATAAAGTGGTTAAATTCAGCTCCTTCTCTAACAGCTACAACAGAAACATACTTGTTATTTAGCTAACGAATGTAGCGTTAGCATGGCTGCAATATTTGTGGTCACAACTAACAATTACAAAGAGATGGTTAATGCCAAAACATGCTCACAAAAGCACAAATAGAGAAGAGTCTTGAAGTATGTTAACTGACTCATGAATGTCAGTTATAGCCCACAGCAGCATCTGTCTAAAGTTTGCTGACGTTAGCTAACATGAGTCACTATTAGCTCCTGGTCATACCACACCAAGTCAGGCTGTAGCAGCAAAACCCCTGAGTGTATTAAATTGATTAAAGGTGTGCATTTTATCATTTGAGATTTACCTTTTCATTTGTAAGAGAAAGAAGGTGTTATTTCTTCTCTCAAAACTTTGTACATGCATAAAAAATACCTATATAATGGATTTCTATATATGTTGCAACCCTGTATGTTAGCAGTATTTGTGTATGCAAGTTTATAATAAACAAAAGATACATAAAAATTCTGTGTGCTTGTATATGTTTTTCTTATTAGTCTTAACATACTTGTTTATCTTTCATATTTAAACATAATACAAGCATATATCCTGCATCAATTAAGAAATGTTTATTTGCCCTTCACATATACTAGCTGAACAGTTCAGTAGGAAAGAACACCAGCTTTCCGAACAGAGACTGAGGTTCATGTGCATACTATGTTTCTTATAAATGAAATTTATATCTGTGTTATTCTTATATTACACATACATCATTGGCTCATCTCCAATGACTGAAACTTCATCTGCTTTCATTTTTATCTTTGTCTCTGCACAAGTACTTCAAAGACGCAACGCTTTCCATCCCACTGACACTAAAACCTTTCAACTACTCCACCACTCTGCTGAGGTTGCTGCATCTTAGGTCTCATTTTATGATTGCAAATTGTGACCAGTTCATCTGCTCTGACCCTTACCTCTCACCCCTGACCTCTCCGACCCATCCTCCAATTGTGACAAATTACAGTTGTTTGTTCAGCCATCAGCAGTGACAATAATCACTGTCATGTATTTATGGACACTTCAGAATTCTGAAGGTGTACACTGGGTGTCACAGAGAGCCACTAACAGGCTATTTATCAAAGATTAGACATGGTTAAAGCAGATTTTGCCATTAAGTGTCTGTATTCCTCACTGATCTCCTCTCTGAGCAACCTGACCTCTCACCTTAACTTTCCTGTCATCGGCGGTGGTCTCGTCAAACTCCTCTCCCAGCTTGAAGGAGAGCTCTGTGTTCTTGATGGTGCTGCGGGTCTGCACCGTCACCGTGTCGCCGTCCACTAAGATGATGGTGGTGGGCTTGGTCAGGCTTGCCATATGACGCGTGGTAAATGGCACCTCTGTAGAAAAGAAAGGCACATGGGTCATTTCATGTTCTGGTGGAGGATAACTGCATACACAAAACATATGTAAGAGACTTAGAGCCTACAGCCATGCTAGCAGCTATAGCTAATAGACTTGAATGCCTTCCTTCAACTGCACTACGGCACAGATGTGCCCCGGGCTAAATGCTAACAATAGCATTCTACATGCAAACTAGTAGTTAACACAAAGTACACATGAGGAATGTCAGCATGGGCGGATTACTGAACCCAAGGGTCTGAGGGCACAGGGGGCTCCTAAGTCAGAGCCTTTGCATGAAGTCACTGTTATTAATTTTGCATTTTTTGTTGCATAGTCAAAAGGCTTAATCATTCATGTTAATAAAAACTGAGGGGGGTGAGGGTGTATGCATCTTGCCCAGGGGCCCAATTTCTCATTCTAGCAGTTTTTTGTCAGGTATTTTGCACATACAGCAGTGGACAAACTTTCTTGACCTGATAGTGGTGCTGGATTTTCAATTCAATCTAAGAGACACATGAATGTATGTATAAAATTTCATGGCAAACCATCCAACTCAAAAAACAAAAATGCCAACGTCACTGTGGCGTAACCGTTACAGTCAGTCAATAAGATTCCTCCTCAGGGGATCATGAATGTCTGCACCAAATTTCACGACTATTCATCTAATAATTGTTAAGAGATATCACTCAGGGCCACAAATGTCAACCTCATGGTGGTACTAGAGGAAAAACTCTTGATCAAAGTGGTGGACAAACCGTTCATATTTGCTAAAATACTGTTGAATATTTTCAGTGGTGGCTCTTCCTACAGGTGACATAGGGCGCCACCCAGAGGACTCCACCTGTATGGGGCGCACACTCTACCAGGTGAGGTCGCTCCACGTATTTAATTATTAATCGATCCTACCAGAGTGGGAATAGTAAGTGCCATATTTTGAAAAACATTCAAAGCAGTAGCCATGCATTTGTCCTTTGGGTCTCCTTCAGCTGACACACTCTAATCTCTGTTTGTCTGCTGTCCAAACTTGCAGCATGTTCTTCAAACACTGCACTGACCTGACTGCCTGTCTGGGCATGTATGTATGCAAATGATTACTTTCCTTGTAGGACGTGAGTGTGAGGGATCAGGAGGGTTCATTTTATTTGGTAATAGTGACTCACACCCTTGGCTACCAAGTGAGAAATGTCAATGAGAAAATCTGTTCCTCTTTCGGGCTAATGATCCAGTTCATATCCAGCTAAAACTGCTACTTCCCGACAATCAATACAACAAAAAGTCACTGTGTGTGTGTGTGAGTGCAGATGCCTCACTGATCAAGAGCATTGGGGTTAGTGGTTGAAGGGTGTCTGGTTTCTATGGTGACCAATGCTGACAGGTCGATGTGAATGTGGCTTTGAGGTCAGCATGAACCTCTCACACACACACACAACCTCACAAAGACAAATAGTTAAGTGTCATTCTTCACAGTTGTAAAAGTGCGAGCACCTGCCCCCATCACACACACACACACACTGAACCATGTGTGAGAGTGTGTGAGATATTTCCAAGCCCACTTTATCTGTACATTCCCGTCCCCATTAGCTCCTCTGCATTTGAACCATCTTAATATTCAACTCCTCCCATGGCCTCAGACAATGAGCAGCCTTCAGCAAAGGTCATCCACATTATGCTCGAGTGTGTGAATGCCAGTTTGTTGCCATTCAGAGTTTCTCACAGTGGGGTTGGGTTTTTTCTCCACTGAAAGAGAGCCCCTCCCTCATTTCCAGCACTTAGGCCATGCGGTCAACCACTCTTCCTCTTTTCCTCCCCCTCTAGTTCCCATCCTCTCTCATTTTCTTTCTCTTTCTCTCTCCTCTTTCCACGCTTGTTCCTCCTCGTCATCTTTTTTTTTTCCATTCTCAGCCTTGGTCCCTCCCTTATTTACCCATTCATTGTCTCCCTTTACCTTCTTTACTTTTCCCGCAGCACCAACAGCTGCTTTAACAGGTTAAATACAAACACACCCTAAAGCATTAACCTCTTCTCTGCCCCATTTTCACATGTGCTCACATGCCGCACTGGCAATACTGCATCCTCTCCTGTTACTCACGCATGCGCGCACACACACACACACACACACACATAATACTGTACACACAAAACACATACTTACCCAGCTTCTTCATGTAGTCATCAAATTTTTCACTCTTCTTGAGGTCCCACTTGCCAACGAATGCATCCACCATGTCTGCAGCAGTGTGGCGGTATGAGGCAGCGAGAGACTGTGTGCGGGTGTGTAAGAGAGTGTGTGTGAGAGGGAGAGAGAGGCGGCAAAGCGAGGGAGCGACAGAATGAGAGAAGAGGGAGAGAGGCAGAGAGAGTGTAGTCAGCACCACGAGCTGTACTGCAATCCTACTGGCTGGATTTATACCGGCTGTTCATGATGTCATCAGGCTGTGCAGAATGCAGGGGAGGGGCGAGGGGTGAGGAGGGAGGGGGATGGAGACAAAAGAGAGAATCTGAGGCGGAGTGAGTAATGCAACTAAAGTACATTTGAATTTGAATTAGATTTGTTTTGTAACGTTTAGTTTGCATCAATTTTTATATGAATTCTATGCATAATAGTACAGTAGTTGTATAGCATAGCATAATGCACAGGAATGCAGTATTATTCTGAATGATTACACCCACATTGTAACACACCCCTGTCAACACTACTTTTTTATGACATTTGAGGCAATTTGAATTTTTTAACACTTGCAAGAGAGTAAGAGGGGGAGGGTCAGTGAGCAACAGGGCCACCGTAAAGACACCCAGGCTTGAGAGAATAAAAGGCAGAGTAAAGAGAGGGGGAGGATGAAGAGGAGGAGGAGGAGGGATTGATGAACAAGCCCCCGCTGTCAGAGAGAGGAGGAGGAGAAGAAAAACAGATCGAGCCCGAGGGGAGGAGGCGGCATGATTGATTTTTGTTGCAGGGGGTGGGGTGTGGGTGGCTGTTGAAAGTTAAAAAGCATGTCCCAACATTCCTCACTGCTCCCGCTTCTTGCTTCTCTACTGTTCCCACCTCTCTTCTTGAGGTCTACTACCTGCTTTAGCTTTTGTTTGACTTTTACTGACCTCCACGAGGTCTGCCAGGCCACAGAGGGTGTGTGTGTGTGTGTGTGTGTGTTGTGCACCACCCTTGTAAACACACATGCACACACGCACATGATAGAGTGAGCTGTGGTCACGGTAAGGGTGTTGGAAAGTTGGTTCATTACTACAGTGTTTAGTTTGCACATGCACAGAGAAAATCTTGTTTCTGTTGTTTAGGAGAACATTGCATTAATTCCCTGAAGAATCGACCTCGACCTTAACCACAAAAAGTATAAATCTGGTGATATTCTATAATTTTCCTTTATCAATAAATCCTATGAAAATACTAAAACAGTGAAAACATTTAAAACAATGAATTGATCTTTCTAACTTTCAACGTTCTGTTGTGCCATAGACCTCGATTTTAATCGTGGCGCAGTCATGGCAGAAAAAGCAGCGACATCTCAATAGACAACAACCACTTCATGCTGTTCCTGCTGGAAAAACACTGACAGGTGGCTACAAAACACAAATGATTAGAGCCTAAAAAGCCACTGTAAACAAACTGAAGGGTTGTTACAAAACACCCACAGTTGGAGGCTTAAAAGCCACTGGAAACAGACTGACAGGTCACCACAAAACACCAATGTTTGGAGCCTAAAAAGCTGCTGGAAACCCACCAAAGGGTCACTACAAAACACTCAAGTTTGGAGCCTAAAAATCTGCTGGAAACCCACCAAAGGGTCGCCACAAAACACCCAAGTATAGAATCTAAAAAGCTGCTCGAAACACACCAACAGGTCACTACAAAACACTCAAGTTTGGAGCCTAAAAATCTGCTGGAAACACACCAGTGGGTTACTGCAAAACACCCACATTTGGGGCCTCAAAAGCTGCTTGAAATACACCAACACATCACTACAAAACATCCACCTTTGGAGCTGGAAAAGCTGCTGGAAAAACACCATGGGGTCACCACAAAACACCCACATTTGGAGCGCCTAAAGCTGCTGGAAACACACCATCAGGTCACCACAAAACACCTGTGTTTGGAGCCTTTTGAGCCTGTTTGGAACCTGAAAAGCCAGTGGAAACACACTGATGGCTCGCTACGAAACACCCACATTTGGTGTCTAAAAGCTGCTGAAAGCACAGCGATGACTCACTTAAAACACAACTGGTTTTGTTGTTTGCTGGTCTTGAACTTTGGTCCACAGCTTGGCAGCCATTTTGCCAAGATAACACGCCATCCACCATCCCCTCTACCTCCCCATGACAAATTCAGCTTATATATTACATCTCTGTAGAAGTATTGATATGATAAGTACGACACATGCAAATAAAACATTCTCGTGGTGTGCAGAAATGTACAATGCCAAGATTTTCCTCTTATGACTAGACTGCAATTTTGTTCAAAAACTGTTAAAAACACATCAGTGAGTCACACCTTTACAATGCAGAAGGACACTGTAATCTAATTTGAGTCAAACCCCAAACGGGTGCACTTACTACTAAATACTTTAGGATCAAATTCTGTATTCGCAGCTGAAAATAGTTCCCAAAATGTGCTATTTAGTCCTGCTCGAGTAACATTAGGTAAAATCCACAGTGCCCAGCTGCTGTAGGTAAATAAAAGTATGTATTTGTGACCTGTCTCTAAAGATCTGCATCTTCACAGGGACCAATGGGTTAACTGCTAAACACCAGACAGAGTAAGAATTGAGTGATGGATTAATGCATTGTTGCTTTTGGTATTTGCATGGCACTTGTTGACAATACACCAGCCCTATCCATCAAAGGAAAACCTATTTAACAACATTTGAATCTAAATGGGATGATAGCTGTGGGGTTGTTTGCTTACATTAACAGGCCACTGTGAATCATGACTTACCGAACCACACCCACGTAGTCCCCATGAAGCTTATTCACTCAGTTTTTGACTGCTAACCCCTAATAAATATTACCTGAGGATGGGTTTTTTGCAATTTTACCTTTGATTATTGTCCATGCAGTCATGCATTTTAATAATATAGAGGAATATTTAAGATTTTAAACCAAGTGTTCAGCGACTAGAATCCCCAGTCCTCCTAGTTTACCTTGTGGAGACCAGCTTTTTGAACTTGTTTGAGAGTTGAACAGATGTATAACCCTGAAACAAGATAAATACATCTCCACTAATCCTTTTTTGAGAAATACAATTGCTTACTCTCTTGCCGAGTGTTTGATGAGAAGAACGTTACTAATTTCAGACATGACAGAAGACTTTATCTTTTCATCTTACCCATGGCAAGAAAGAAAATCAGCATATTTCCCAAAATGTCAAACTAACCGTATTTCTTAAGCCCTGAAGCCATGTGCCCCTCAAAGAGCCTTTTGAAGTCGTGATGACAGGCCAGCACGTCCCTACTTGCCAAACATTTGCTCAATCACAAGGGTTAAAATTGATGTACTAGAGGACACACACACACAGACACACACAGACACACACACACACACAGAAGCAGCATTCATTGATAAGCACAAATGTCTACTTATGGTCCGCCTCTGATGAAATTCCCCCATCTGCAAATGGTCTGATGATCCCTGGGAGTTGTGCAATAACAAGCACACATTAAATCTAACCCCCTGTTGCACCACACACACACCCACACCCACATACACACACACACACGCTCTGAAAAAACAGGGATTGATGGGAAAAAAGTCAATAGCGAATGCTGTTACATCACATCACACAATGATATGCACCCTGTCCCACTGCCCTTGTCCTCCAATTGCCTCCCTTCTCTCTTTTCTATTGGTGTGTCTAAACTGGCACATGTGTGGTGTGTGACAGAATGAATCCCTGGCGTGCATGGTTCTGACATTTGACATAAACAGGTGTGAAAGACACGCCTGGAAAGGGGGGGGGGGGGGGGGGGGGGGAAAGGTCGAAATCATTCACCTCTGGCCTAAAATTTGTTCACAGGCTGTCTGTGGCGGTGCAAGAGAGTTTTTAAGTGGGTGTGTTTGAGCTTATGCAATCCTACGATATAGTGCTCTGGGATACCACTGTGATCATAAGTGCCATTAAGCTGGATTTTCTCTGGCAGTTTCACACAAGAAACTCAATGCTTCACAAAGGCCTCTAACATATGCGTGGTGGGATAAACAAGCACTATCCACAACGTGACCAAACACACATGATAACATTTGTATTAGCAGCAGCGTCTTTATCCTGTTTGTGCAGGATCTCAGTTTCTATTGAGTTGAACTTGTCTGATCTTTGTGTACATAACATGATCAATTTTTCAGACTAGACTGCCGTTGAGGTTGCTGACCTGAGACGTGGTATATAGCCCCTATGTGGTCCAGGCAAACTCCACTTATGTTTGGCCTGAACACTTCATACAAGCAGGCATCTGTGAGGGGCTGCACATTACAGTGCGTGTGTGTCTAAATACATTGAGCTGACTGAAGCAGAGAGCTGGTAGGCCTGAGACACTGAAGCACATCAAATCCCCATGCAGCTATAAAGGAAGAGTGGGAGCGCCGTAAACCGAGGAATGTTGATGCGACTTCCAGGGCTCTTGTGGCTTTCCTGTACATCTGTGTGAGACTGTGTGAATAATACAACTACATAAACATCTGGACATGTTACACCCTTCTCTAACACACATGTATTCGTACAGTCATTCATTCATTCTGCAGCCTCTCCCTTGACTTATGTACACCAATCAGCCAAAATATTATACCACTAACAGGGAAGTGAATAAGGTCGATCATTTCATTACAATGCAATGTTCTGCTGGGAAAGTTTTGGTCCTGGCATTCATGTGGAAACCACCTGACATGTTCCACCCACCTAAACATTGTCATAGACCAAGTACCCCCGATGGCAGTAGCCCCTCAGCAAGGCAATATACCATGCCCAACTGCAGAAACTGAGAGAGCTTTAGGCATCGATCTAGCTTTCAAATTCCCCAGATCCCAATCTGATCAAGCAACTGTGGGACAAACCAGTGCCCCGGAGGTCCTTTGTCTGGGCCTCAACAGGTCAGAGCCAAGTCCAATCTATGCTGGGGTCTCTGACCTGTTGAGGCATGGAGACAGGACCTTTGGGGTTGTCCTCTGTTGTCTGTTACCAAGGCATTGTTGACGGATCCTTCGAGTTCTGTGTGTTGAGAGGAAAGGCACCGGCATGCCCAATGGATGTTCGATCAGATTGGGATCTGAGGATTTTGGGGACCAGGCTGGCGCCTAACGCTCTTAGTCACGTACCCTAGGCCATTTCTGAGCAGTTTTTCTGGTGAAGCTTAGTGCATTG